GGGTGAAGTCGTCCCCCCCACCCCGGGGGGGCTTCATCCCCCGGATGGTTGCGCGCATCCCTCTGCGTGAGGAGAGCGGGGAGCAGCCTCTCCCCTTTCGCCTCCCTCCCGCTTTCCCCCCCGTTTCTTCCTCTCCCGAAGAAGGGGGGGAAGGTGAAGAAGCCAAAAGCCCTACCTGTGCTTGACCGTGCTTTCGGTCGCGATTTACACCCGAACCCCGTCGGCGATCCTCCTAAGAGGCTACTGGGGGGGAAAAGTCCAGAGCCATATTCTGGGACATACGGTGGGTAGGTAGTGATGGGGTGGTGAGCGGAGGAGGTGGCTCCTCCTAAAGAGGCCATGCTGCTCCGAGAGTGAGAGGACTCCAGCTTCATGGTGTCGGCGACCGTGCTTTCGGTCGCGATTTACACCCGAACCCCGTCGGCGATCCTCCTAAGAGGCTACTGGGGGGGAAAAGTCCAGAGCCATATTCTGGGACATACGGTGGGTAGGTAGTGATGGGGTGGTGAGCGGAGGAGGTGGCTCCTCCTAAAGAGGCCATGCTGCTCCGAGAGTGAGAGGACTCCAGCTTCATGGTGTCGGCCAGGGACACCTGGTATTTGATGCATTCCTTCTCGTCCTGCCGGGTGGAGCCGGTGGAGCCGGGGGTGGAGATGGACGGATCCGGGGACACATCTTTAGGAGGGGTCGGTGGGAAGGTGAAAAGGTGCGGGCTGGAGTGACCGGCGGATAAAGTGGAAGAGGAGGCGGGGGGGGAGACGGAAAGGGGTCCCGGTGAGCTGTGATGGATGGATGTCTTGGAGAAAGGGCTGAGGTTCCAGGGGGAAGCGCTGTGGTGGCTGCTCAGAGCCTTGCTCCCGTCCAGCCAGGGGCGCGGGCCGTGCAGCAGCGGGGGGCGGCACACAAAAAATCAGCATGAGGTGGGGGGGGGGGAGCAAGCAAAATTACATCTGATGCAAACCCCTTCTCCCCTGTAAAAATTAAAATTTGATAGTCGCGATAGCCCCAGGTGGCTGCCCCGAGCCTGCTCAGGACGGGGTCTCCGGGCCGGGACCCCCCCGAGCAGGGATGCCAGCCCTGGGACACGGAATTTTGGCGAGCCCCACTTCACTCTGTCCCTCTTCCAGACAATCCCACGCGGACTTTGAAGCGAAGATCCTGCGTGAAATTGCCAAGTCCAGACTGCAGAAATCTTTTTTTTTTTTTTTAATTAGCTGGAAAAAAATTTCCCGAACGCAGCCGTGGGCTACAAATCGTGGGAATATTCTGGCCAAACGAAGAAGACCAGAAGATACCCACAGACGTGAGAAGGACTTTTCCAATAGAGCTGCTAAACTTCGCAAAACGCCTGGCTTGTCCTTTTTTCTTCCAGAAGGCTGCACATAAATGTTAGACGGCTTTTTCGTGGCGTTATGACACACGCAGAGAGTACCAACTGTCTTAAAAGAAATTCTCCATCCCCTTCCTATGACAAGAGACCCTTCGCTTGTGTTTTAAAATACAAAACTGGACTGTAAAAAAAAAACACTCCATCAGATTTACTCAGTGAAACATTTTTTAATTTGGTTATAAATGCTTTTAAGGGATGGTACCTAATATTTTAAATTAATCGCTGCCTTTGTTAAAAAAAAATATATATATATCTATCTCCCAAGAATCAAACCTACCCCAATCCACAGCAACTTGAACGTATCTCCGTAAGCTGAAAAACACAGTTATTCACCTGGAGGAGAGCAAGTTCATGCCTGCTAATAAAGCCCTGCAAACGCATTGACATCTAGAGAGCCTTAACCTCTGTAGGTATTGTGATATGTGTGTAGAGACTGCTAAATATACAGGAGAGATGCAAACACAGATCTACAGAGCCACAGATAGCTACAGAGCTGGGGCAGTGTGGACGCGTGCGTTTGCATGGGAGCTTGTGTGCCTCTAGAAAATCTCCAAGCTAGTTTTCACCGTAGCAGACATTTGTGAACAATATTGAAAGTAACTGCTCGAAAGGAAGGGAAGGTGGGTTACGAACAGAAAGGGTCAAGATTCATTATCTTCTCCAGGAAGTAGCATAGTAAATAATATTCAAGCTAGATCAGAGAGACCGCATTTCCACTTTCTGCTGATATGTTGGAAAAAAGAAGTGAAAAGGAAAGAAAAAAGAAAGGACAAAGGCTGCTGATCCTTAGAAATAATTGTTTTAAAGGGACTAATAGCAGAACAATGCAGTTACTGAGCGGAGCCTAATGCAGGCTCGCACTCAACAAGTAGCTGAGGGCTGGGAGCAGCCCCCTGCACCCGGCTCGGCTCCATCTCCACTCGCTCATCCCAATTTCTTCTCCTTCATTTTGGGGCGATTTCCCCTGCAAACCTCGGGCTTTTCAGGTTTCGCCATGACAGAGGTCACTCTCTGGCTGCACAAAGCAGCATCTGCTTTTTTCCCTCCTTTTTTTATGTTTCTCTTTTCCCTATTTTTAACCATACAGGTTAAAGTCCTGCTATAAACACAGGATCTCTTCGATTCTTCATAAAAAGATGGCACCAAAGCACTCATCTCTCTGCGGACCTGGGCCCCATCGGCCCCAGGTATTTCACCTCCTCTCTAAAAGCTGTGACCCAGGAACAAAATTCACATTCTGGATCGCTACCTTCCTGCAGGACCCACAGGAAAACACACCAGGTTTGACACCTAATTACACCAAAGGACTGGGGGTTTTTTTGTTGCTTGTTTTCAGCACAGGCTGCAGTGCGGCCCTGGGTGGATGTGCAGAAACTTTCGACCCAAGCCTAACAAGCTCACCAAGAGCGAATGAAATAGCCCAAGCGTGAGGACAGCAGGGTCATTTTCACACCCCTGCTCTCCAGTTTGCTTTTCTTCTCCAGAGCAGCTTAATCGTGCAAAAACTAAACACTGTATGAAAACCCTAACTGTTAACCTAACTAAAGAGGGGGGGACACGCTGAAGTGAAAGAGAGGGGGGAAGAGGAGGAAAACAAGAGAAAGATGAAAGGGAAAGAAAGAGAAAGAAGGAGAGCAAGAGAGAGGGGAAAAGGGAGAGAGTGGAGAGAAGGGAGGGAGATAAGAGAGGAGAGAAAGAGAGCAAGAGAAAGAGAGAAAGAGTGACAGAAAGAAAGAGAGAACGAAAGAGAGTGACAGAGTGACAGAAAGAGTGACAGAAAGAAAGGAAAGAAGAAAAAAGAGAGAGAAAGCGAGAGAAAGAGAAAGAGAGCGAGAAAGCGAGAGAAAGAGAGAGAGAAAGCGAGAGAGAGAGAGAGAAAGAGAGAGAGAGAGAAAAAGAGAGAAAAAGAGAGAAAAAGAGAGAGAGA